AGAGGTTTTCAGGTTTTGTTCTATGACATCATTTTGAAGATTTCAAGTGTCTTTAAAAAGGCAGTTGCTAACAAGTGGCTAAATAAGACTACAGAACATCATCATGTCTAACTGCATGAAACATGGATTTACAGCCTTGTTGTGGTGCTGACATTAAAGTCGTGCAACCGTGGTACAGTTTGTTTGTAGCCTAGTGTTAGCTTTTTACTTCTGGGGATCGCAAAATTCATAAAAGTGGTGTTTTTGTGAAGATTATCTTGTTGAATAATTGAAATATCCTATTGGCTTTTTGCCAAGGGAACCAGGGTGAAGCTAACTTCCACGTTGGCCTACAAATAAACATCATCCCTACACCACTTTATTGTAACAGCATTATTTGAAATTGATTATTTTGAAGACAAATTGTGACAGAGCCAGAGATTAAAATAATTCTTATTGTCCCATTTGAATGAATGTGGTTTAGGTACGTCTGCAACTGTGCAAGTTGATGATACGCAATCTGTTAAGCTCCTCGTTGAATATATTTAGACAGAAGTTTCTTGGAGATTATTTATAATTCAGTAATGGAGTGCTCATTGTAGACACAGCTAATGTAAACTCTGACTCTAATAAGGATAAATTCATCTGCAGTTTTGTGCTCTCTACTACAGTTGTGTAATATATTAAATCAACTACGGATAACAGTCATTTATTCACTTAATTATGTCCATTGACTTAGATTGACTGCAACTGTGCCTTTTGTATCACACACATTTGCTAAACAAGATAATGCAAGTCATTCTGAAAACCAAAGCAATGCTGATTTGGCCCCCATAGTAAGTCAAAATGTTGTGTCAGGACTGTTCATTTTACTGAAATAGTATTCCTTGCTTGACACAGCTGGACTAGCTGATATAATTAAATGGAACATAGTGAAGCCTGTCTCAATATTTACAGTAACACATGCAGTCCCAGTGTGTAGTGCGGGCCATTGTAGAACTCTCCTATCAGCCATACATCCTGCTGAAATTCTACATTAGCAGCTTCAGGAGGGTTGTAAATTAGAAATGAAGAGGCATGTAGTGACACAGACCTCCAGACCCACACTGAGGCTCTCTGAGGCCTCACACAAACCTCCATTTCAATTCTCCAAATAAATCCTTCTGTGGCCCGAACGGCCGGGAAGCCGTAATTCACAACAACACGCAGAGGAAAGAGAGACTCACATGATGGCTACATCTCTCAGTCCTCCTCCAGTGACACCAGAACACTCCCCGCTGTGATCCTCAGTCCCAAAAGCCCCAAAGAGCATCGTAGCAGTCTGACAAAACAGAGCTGTCACAGTCTGTCTGCACCAAGACACAGAGCAGACTCTATCCGTCTGCCTGTCTGCCTGTCTGTCTGTCTGTCTGTCTTCTGTCTTCTTTCCTTTCTGACATCCTGCCTTTCTCGTTTCTTCCTTCCACCTTCCTTTCTTTTCTTCCCTCCTTACTTTCATCGATCAATGTCTCCTTCCTTTATTACTCCCTTTCCTCCATCCTTCTTTTCATCTCATCTGATCTCTCCTTTCTTACTATCTATCATCCAATCATCCTTCCTTTCTTTTTTCCTTCCCTTCTTCCTGTCTTTGCTTTTTAACATTGTTCATTTCTTCCTACTTTTTTCCACCTTTGCTTCTTTTCTACCCTCCTTACTCTCATTGATCTGTCTGTCTATCTTTTCTTTCTTTCTTTCTTCCTTTTCTCTATCCCTCTTCACACCTCATCCAATATGTTCTTCCTCTCTATGTATGCATGTATGTATCCATCCATCCATCCAGTCTTTACTTTTTAACATTGTTTCTTCCCTCTTCCCTCTGCCTTCCCTTCATTTCTTCCCTCCTTACTTTCATTGATCTATATGTCTATCTGTCCATCTTTTCTTTCTTTCTTCCTTTTCTCCATCCTTCTTGATGTCTCATCCAGTCTATCTATCTATCTATCTATCCATCCATCCATCCATCCTTTCTGTCCTATTTCCTTTATGTCATTTCTTTATCCTTTCTTTCTTCCACCTTTCCTTCTTTTCTTCCCTACTTACTTTCATCTATTTACATGTCTGTCTATCCTTCTTTCCTCGCTTCTTTCTTTTCCTCCATCCCTTTTGTCTCATTCAATCTTTCCTTCCTTACTATCTATCCACCTCCCCACCCCTCCTCCCACCTCCTTCTATCAATCTATCGTTCTCCGTCTGCCTTCCTTTCTTTCCGTATGCTGTACAGATTGTTAAGCCCCTCGAGGCAGGTTTGTGATTTGTGATATTGGGCTATATAAATAAAACTGACTTGACTTTTTGTTCCCTCCCTCCATCCTTCCATTTTTCATTTCTTCAGTCGTTTCTTCCTCCCTTCCTTCATATTTCTCCTCCCTCCCTCCATCCTGTGTATCATGGTCTCTGGACACAGCTCTCCGCTCTGTACACATTCTGCTCCATGTGGCTTCAGCCTCATGTGTTGCTCATGTTTGGACAGCGCCGAGACAATCAGATCTGTGTTAAATGCGGCCTCACACTGGGCTCCACACTGATTGGTGTGTCAACACAGGCCGGATTTCAACTGCCTGCTCAAATGTGACTTTGTTTGTTGTGCCATCCATTCAAATCCGCCTAAGATCTCATGAACAGGTGAGAGCAAGCTCATCAGAATTGAGCAGGCAGTGTAAATCCAGCCATGTTGACTGACACACCAATCAGCAGAGAACAGAGTGAGAATGTGTGTTTGTCACAGAAAAGCTGCCCGTCCCTTCAAAATATGATGTTTCATTTAAGTCTTTATCTTCTTCCTGTGTTTTAAATGATTCTTTATTTATTGTTGTTTGTTTATTGTTGTCTAAACAGGGAAAACAATGTTTCCTTTTGTTTTAGCAACATGTCACATGCAGATGAGAGACAGGAAAGATTTGATCCAGTAGTTAAAATGAAGAGGCAGCTGGTTTTAAGGAAGCTCTCTGGAGGGTTTGGTTGGTGCTGGTTGGTTGGGGAGGTGGCAGAATAGAAGGGGGAAAGTCACAACCAAATCACTGCAATTAGTGGAAGAAGCACAGGAGACTAGTGCCCCCCAGTGTTTGCTCGATATATGATTAGTGTCTGTGTGCTGCTGTGAAATGACTAGACTAAAAACTAGAGTACAAATTATTTTCTTTTTTTTTGTTATGTGCACTGATCCATTGAATTTGGAATTTAGTTTTTGCCACCGGTATACCTTGAAACCTCACCTTTAACTACTGATACAATCATTTATAAATCATCTTTTATGTATCCTCTGCAGTTTCATTCTCTGTCATATCAACAAGGCGGGCAGAGTTGCTGAGTGTTTGTGCATGAGGCAGGAGGTCTGTCGGACTATTTGGGTGCTCAGTTGTAACATGACAAGAGGCTGGAATGCCATCTAGAGGTTAAGTGGCTAATTTTTATGTACAGTGGTGGAGGAGGTACTCAGATCCACTGCTTAAGCCCAAGTATCAATACGGCAGTGTAGAAATTCTCCAAAATCCTACTCCAGTAAAAGCATTAAAAATCAAATATAAAAGTAATCATACTCATTCTGCAGAAGAATGTCCATGTGACTGATATATAGGCCTACATAACAATAAATGTGACTGTATTAGATTGCTAATACTGATGCAATAGTTTGCAGGTGGAATTTTACTGTTGTAGCTGGGAACTAGTTTTAACTGCTTTATTTGCAGTACAAGTTTGGTCCTTTGGTTCTGAACGTAGGGATCCAGGCCTCTCCAAACATCACAAGATAAATCTGACAGTTCATGAGATAATTACTTGGGAGGGAAGGAATAAAAAATAAAGTTTGTATTTTTGTTCAGTACTTTTTGTTAAATCTAGAATATTTTTTCCTGATTGGACTTCAAATACTATTGAAATGAAATTATGTGAGAAGCGTCTTGTTTGTGGAACTGCTAATAACTTACAGACATCTGACACATGATGAAGAGGTCACAAGTCAGTAATGTCGGGAGCCAGTGGTTCAACTTTTTATTTTGTAATGTGACATTCTAATCTTAGAGGTAACTAGTAACTATAGATGTCAAATACATGTAGTGGAATAAAAAGTAACAATATGTCCTTCTGAAATATAGTGAAGTAGAACTATAAGGTAGCATAAAGTACCTCAAAATTGCACTTAAGTACAGTGCTGAGTAAATGCAGTTGGTTACTTTCCATCACCGGTTATGTATCTGGGGCATCATTTCAGTAATATGACATTACAACACTGAATGTTTAGTGTAATCAAATTTGATAGAGGTTAAGAAGGGGAAGTTACAGTTTACATAGGCCTATCTTTTTGTAATGGAAAAGTCCAAAGGATTCATCCTGGACTAGTTTCTTATTCATGGATGAAGTCTTCATTACATCCCTTTCAGTGGCGATTCTCCATGGAGAAGCACTAAGACTGTATTGACCTACATTACTTCATGTATTTTCAGCGTACAGTATGTCTTTAGCTATTCTTCCTCGCTATGACTCAGTATCCATAATCCCTTTGTGTAGGCTGGACTGATGGCATGTGTACATCATTCATTGCTCTCTCTATCAATGGTTATTTTCCATGGGCAGGTTGCTATCAATGTGTAACCAAGATGAGCCAGGAAGTTGATGTGATTCCCATAATTCCACAGGGCGCCGCTGAGCTGCATTTGCCTTATTGTACATTACAGACTGAAATGGTAGAGGCTTATCACACACAGCAGGCTAATGACATATCATTACAGGAAATAGAAATTTAAAACATACCTTTGTTAAAGTGTGTGAAAGAAGCACTATTAACTTGTTCTAAAGACCCATGTGGCTCAGTATTGCTGAAAGAAAAAGGTAAAGACACGATTCGCTCTGACAAAGTGCCAGCCTGGTTGGTTTAATGACATTTTAAGAACTTCATCTGAATATCCCATTGAGCCTAATGAGGGATACATCCTTTCCCCCTGGAGCTAAAGTCCTGTCTCTGTGGGAACCGACTGATAGCAGGTAGACTTTGCCCTGAAGGGGAACCAACAATACAGGAAGAGCAGCAGTGCAGATTCCTGGCTGTCACAGCAGAGGTAAGACACATTACAATGGATTAGAGTTGTAATTAATTGATTTATGTGAACAGACCAAAGTCAAACAGCAATTGATCACTTGTTGAAGACTTGGAAAACACAAGGGGTACTTGTGAAAGTGCTTCATTCATCACATCACGGAAGTGATGTTCAAGCCTGTGCTGTGTACACGAACAGAAACAAAGTCCATTTTGTGTCATTTAAATATGTGAAAATATGTTTAAATATATTTCCATTGTGTCCTGTTCATGGTGAGTTTTAGTTTGAGGAGTTAAGGAAGCTGAATGTCGTTTTAGGTATGAGATGATTATCAGGAGTTCAGAAGTTCATTTCTAATTACAGATATTACAGGAAGTGTATATTGTTACTGATTAAACCATAGAAAGGCAGATTTATACGCAGCGCTGATGTTTCTTTGATACGGTTGTGAGGACTCAGAGTTTCTTATCTACAGTCAGTGTAGTCCTGGCTCTACTGAAGTTTTATATCATACAGAATCTGTCATTGTGTAACTAATTAGAACTTTGCGTCTTTAATGACTAATGCAGAACCAAGGACCTCAAAGCGAATCTGTTACACTTATGTCTTCACTATATATAAAATAGAATCCCTGAGTTTACTGTCTGTCTGTCCTTCTTGATGACAACTGAATTTCCTTGGAGAGCAATTAACCACAACTCTATTTGGCCATTAAATATACATACAGCTCTATTAAATGGAGGCTTAAGGCCATAATTATGGATGTTAGTCATGGATGGCTTTCGTGTTTGTGTGATGCATCGTTTCATAATTACCCATTTATTTGTTCCACTCTGACATTGCCGCATTTGCCAGTTTAACATCGCTGATGAAAGCGCTGACACTGTTCAAAAGGATGCTTTTGTGCTGTCAGTCATGACCTTAACTTACCTCTATGTTCTCTGTCACTTTTGGCCTCAGTTGATGAAAAGATCTGCTAACTTTTGGCGGAATGGAGCAGACTAATGGCAGCAGCAATTACGGTTATGGACCTCGCCCCCCTCCATACAACACTCCAGACTATGGGCCAAGTTCTTACACGGGGGTGACATACAACGTTAGTAGCAATATTAAATCATTTTTTTAGCCTTACATGAGAAAGGGGAATTTGGTAGTGAGCTCAAGCCTTTTTTTCCTATTAATTTTGTATTCAGTGTCTAACTATTAGTACAGCATGAGCCAGAATCACACACTGCCAGCCTTTAATCAGGAGCTAATCATAAAACCTTCCAACAATGTCCACGAGCACTCTTTGCACACTTGATTACACATGGATGATTGATTTTCTTTCACTGATGCACCATTTACATTATTTTTGTGTTTTTCAGGATTTTTGTTCAAAAGTAGAATCTTCTACAAATGTTGCTTCAAAAGGAACTTTGGTATTTTTCAATCTGGACCCTATTTTCCTGTATTTTTGTGTCTAAGCAATTAATTGGAACAACAATTTTTGAAATTGGTCCAGAATTGACAGAGACAGCTCCAGCTGCAGCGGCGAAACAGGCTGCAGTGTAATCCCCACGGGCAATTTGTTCGCCATCAATTTATGTCCATTACAAGTGCTTGTTTATGCCACTGACAGGCTCAGATTGTTATTGTACTGTCTGACTGTCTGACAACATTACGGAAAGGACTCCACAGAGAAATGAAACATTTTATTTATCTTTAACTGATCCTGTCTGTTTGTTAGTGTGTGTGTGTGTGTAACCTCACTCAGGGAGAAGTGTCGTTCTGAAATCTTGCAGAATTTTCAAAATCAGCTAAATATTCAGCCATGACACTGAAAAACTTTTAGATAACACTAAACTACGCTTTTTGTACTTCAACACAACAAATTCTGCCCAGCACTCAGCACCCAACTCTCACTAGCATTTCCATCGTTGTCACCTCTCATGAGATTCAAGTACAGTACAACAACAATCTCAGAAAATATCACAGTATACATTCATCCATTCATTCTTGCATTTTCTGTAACCTCTTATCCTGATGGGGGTCACAGGGGGGCTGGATCCTATCCCAGCTGACATTAGGTGAGAAGCAGGGTACACACTGGACAGGTTGCCAGTCTATCGCAGGGCTGACACATAGAGACAGACAACCGTTCACACTCACGGGCAATTTTTAGAGTCACCAGTTAACCTAACCTGCATGTCTTTGGACTGTGGGAGGAAACCGGAGCACCTGGACAAAACCCACTCTGACACAGGGAGAACATGCAAGAAGGGCTCCCCCAACCCCAAGGTTCGAATCCCCAACCAGGAAACCTCTTGCTGTGAGGTGACAATGCTAACCACTGTACCACCGCGCTGCTCATGATATACATATATATTACACAATTTTTATTATTGCTGCAATTACTATCTGTGACAGTAACCCTTAAAGGACTGAAAACAGAAGTTTTTTTTTTTTAGGATGAGCAAACACTTCACTAACACTAAAAATAGCAAAATGTGCAAAAAATGAACTCCTTGAGGAGGAGATGCACAAGTTAGATTCTCCATCCGGTTGCATTGGGTTTTTTTAGCACCTGAGACAAGTTGATGTACACAGTATAACTATCAATATTCACACCACAGTGTAAGGTTTGACGGCATACCACTGTCACAGAACAGACCAGCAAAAGGTGTGAAAAAATGTTTAATTTCTTTCAGAGTCCTTTCCATAATGTTATCAGACACTTATAATAACAATGTGAACCTGTCAGTGGCAAAAACAAGCACTTTTATTGGGCGTAAATTGACGGTGCACAGTTGCCCATAGGATTACATTGCAGCCTGTCCGCCGCTGCAGCTGGAGCAGTCTCTGTCAATACCGAACCAATTTCAAATCTGTTGTCTCCATTAGTCACTTTGACACAAGAACGTGGTAAAATAGGGTCCAGGTTGAAAAAAAATACCAAAGTGTCCCTTTAAACTACCTGTGCTGTTTTTGGTTTGGATCAATCAGGTGGGGAAGGGGAACATTGCAGTGGTCTCCCCTCCTGGACCCTACGATAACATGGGCCATCCTGAGGGACAGGCAGCAGCTGGAGGCACCCTGCAGTATGGTCAAGCTCCTCCTGACTACTTTCACGGCTTAGAGGATAGTGGCTTCAGTGACGCTGCCATAAGAAGAGGTGACGGCTAGAAGAAGCAGGAATGGGCAGATGGAGAAACAGAGAGCCAGAGCTGAAGAGGGATAACAATACGTACTCCCTCATTTGCTTGGCAGTGTTTCCTTGAAATTGATTTGAAATTGAAAATTGTTCCCTGATCTCAGCTGCACCCTGCCTCAGCTTTTCACCTCCCATGCAACATGAATTATCTTTTTTTTTTTTCTTAAACGACAGAAAACAGAAGCATTTTTAAATGTTTTGCAGCATAAACAACCCGGCCTGCCTGTCTGCTTCGCTCTGGCAGATTTTGATTGTTGTTGTTGTCGTCTATCTTTCTCCTATCTGTCTACCTTCTATCTGTCTTGTCTCGCTATGTGTCGATGTCTGTTTTTTCTGAACAGGTTTCATAAGGAAAGTCTACTTGACCTTGATGATTCAGCTGCTGGTGACTGTCGGGATCATCTGTGCTTTTCTTTACTGGTGAGACACTATTACACGAGGGAGTTTCTTCCAAAAAAAGGGGATGAATCTGTGTCAGGCACCTATCCATCATTCCCACATTTAGTGTTGTCTGTCAGCTTGTAAGAGCACCCAACATCACACAGGAGCACAAGTACCATAGTTGTTCCCATGAAAAACTTTGAGCATGCAACCCAGCACTGCTCAAATCATTATAAATATGTAAGGCAAGATGAGACAAGATGGTAGATAATAAAAGGGCATTTTTGCCACATAATACTTTTGCTTGCAGTGGTTTGAAAGCTTTATGTTTTGTATAATAGATGTGGTAGAGCACTGCTACAGTAATTTCTTTTCATAAATTGTATTCAGCTCCCATGTGCACAATGCTCTGTCCTCTGTTAATATTTAATACAATCATTCTACTGCCTGTATCAAATAAATGGTTCCTCTATTAAACACCCCCCTCTCCCTCTGTCCTTTTCTCTTATGGAATAACAGGGAAGATCTCGGGAGTTGGACATGGGACAACCCCTGGTTCCCCTACACTATGATGTAAGCTATCAAAAACATACAGCTAGATTGCCTAGCACACTTTGTTGCTTTAACCAGTTTGACCACCTACAAATCTGTCCGCAAGTTACCTAAATGAAAATGTCGCTCATGGAAACCCACAGAAATAAATCACAAACTGTCACCCGGGTCTGAATCCCAATCCAAGAAACTGCCAGCTACACTTCATAAATAATGCACTCAGTGAATTCACATATTGAACACAGTGGATTTTTCTGTTTATAGCCTTTTTATTTGCTATTTACGATACACTCTATATTCTCTGTGAAATAGGGCGCTGGTGATGGTGCTCATCGTGGCCTTGTCCTGCTGTAGCAACCTCCGTCGTCAAGTCCCCCTCAATTTCATCGCCCTGGGCCTGTTTGTGAGTAGAAGCAGTACCAGCCAGGCATCAAATTAAACCTCCGCCACACCTGCTCTATTTCACAGTTTTTTTGTCATGTATTTACTTTCCATTTGTCTCTCCCTCCCTCCCTCTCCCTCCCCACTTTCTCCCCCTTCCCCCCTCGGTCTCAGACTATTGCAGAGGGCCTGATGCTCGGATCCGTGACAGTGTGAGTGCTTGTTTCCAAGGATGAAACCCCACCTGATGCTGACTCATTTACACAATAATAACCCTATTTGATCCATATCTGATAGCCTGTTGGATGCCAGCAATGAAGCCATCAAACCTGATAAGATGTTATCATTGCTGGTTTAGTAAATTAAAAAGCACATGGAATCACATTTTCCAGAGGTTCCGGCAGGAGATAAATCAGAAGCATCGCAAATTGTTGAAAACCAATTTTTCTGTACCGGTTGCCTGTGTAAACACACGTTACCTTTTCCATCTGTGAGACATTTCGTCTTTTAGCAGCTTGTCACTCTGACAGTGAAGGCGTCAGTTGATGCCTGACTATCAATAATACATTTAGATTATCATATTTATGGGAGATTGCTATAACTGAAGCTGTAACTGATATGAAATGAACATAGGCAATACATTATGCAATGCACGTCCAGAGGGGGTCCCTGCAATCACTCTGGTTCAGACACATAATACAGACTATGAAATGAAAAAACACCACATTTCTTATAAGAAAGTAATGTTTCGCTTTTAGGTTAGAACAGAACCCTACTGTTAATGTATCCTCTCTGCTTGCTAAATAGTTTGACATGATACTATGGGGTGCCTTTCCCACTGCATATCTGTTTGATATACCCATCTGCAGGTTCTATGCGGCAGAGGCAGTTCTGTGGGCTGTGGGGGCAACGGCGCTGGTGTCCTTCGCCTTGACTCTGTTTGCTATGCAGTCAAAGGTAAGATCTGTCACACACTCTGAGCTCCGTTTGCAGCGCAACCAAAAGTGAAATTCCATAAACTGCGGCTTTGCTATGCAGTCAGTGGTAAATGTCCATATACTCAGCTGTCTTTCCTGTGCAGTCAAAGGAAACGTGTTAAGCTGAGCTGTTGGCCAGGTTCTCTCATGCAGTGTTTGTTATATGCACTCACTAGCAAAGGTTTTAAAAGTCTGATGGCTTTGCTGTCCAGGCAAAACTATAATTACTGCTGAGATCAGTGTGTTTGTCAATCAAGTTAATTCCTTATGTCCAGTAGTGGGACAGAGTTAAACCTCCAGGCTGTCTTCGTGCTGGCTGAGGCTCCTACCATAAATCTTGAGTCCAGAAATGGCCTGGAGCTTTTTTGTTATTTGCTCAACCCCCCTCCTCTTCCTTTTTTGTCTGTCTCCTTTCACCATGAACTGTCTGATAAAGCAAACACGCTCTGAGATTAATCTTTAAAAGGGCCCTTTCAGGGACACACCGGTTGACATAATGCTCCTCCAGCCAGGTATATTTTAATATTGAGAAGGTGATGCACATATACTTGTTTTTCTGATCTCTCACCATTAATCTAGTTTTTTTAAAAATACAGTAATAACTTAACTCTTCACAACTTTTTGTGTTAAATGGACTTTAACAGTGTTCTTTACAGTCTATGGTTCTTCCTCAATGATGTCACTCGGTTTATGTATAATAGCTAACTGTATGCTTATGTAAGTGACATTTAAAAGTTTCATTATAAGTTGCGATGCTTTGTAAGCAAGAGTTAATGTGCACAAATGAGGAGACCTTTTGAGAATCACTTCATTGATGCTGTCATGCTGTTTCGATAAATGGCTCATATTCAGAACAAAAGTAATCATACAGGCAGCGGGGCAAAAAATTAGACAAGTGAAATAGATGTAGGCCAAATTCAAATTGCATTTAGAGTCCCTCTTAATTGCCTTTAAACGCAGTTTGGCATTTCACACATTTTGCCACTTATTGCATCTGAAGGAGCTGCAGACATTTATTTCGACTGCTTAGATTGGATAAAACTAGCAAGCAGGTGTCTAATGATTACACTGTGAACAAATCTGTTCTTAAACGCTCTCTGCTCATTAGTAATCTGTACAAAGAAGGCACATGCATCAGGTCTAAATAGCTTGCATATAGAGGAGGAAAATGTGATATAAATTAAAAAAAAAAAAGCAGTAGCATCCACGGCCCATAAAAGAGGTTGTTTTATGGGCTGAGTGAGCGGTCACTACCACAAACACTTTTGCTTTATTTTTTATGACTTCACGTTCATCTTGCAGATTCCAGCACCTCTTGCTCTGCAGTTACCGCTGTGCGCAGCGCCGTCTCTGTCACTGTGATATAAATGTCACACAGACTGCCTTGCATGCTTAGCCCATAGCTGCTCAGGTGATCAGCGTTAGTCATTCTCCTGTTGTAACTGCCATCTTTTTTCTGTCTATTTGAAAAGGGCATGCAGGCCAAAAGGCCACCTCCCCTCCCCTCCTGTGTGCCTGTGCTGCAGCTTGTTGATTAATTATCCAGGGTCATTAGATCCAGAATCATTCAGAATTTTCTTGTGTGTCGAACTGCAATATGTCTTCATCATTTACTAATCTGCAGCACCCTCACAGCACAGCTGCAATGCAGACGACCTTGAGTGCCCTGGCTTTTATGGCAATGATGAGTGTAAATGAGAAATGTTCTGTCTACTGTTTTCTGTTTGAGAGGCCGGTCACACTCATTGTCCCTCTCCTCTCTCCCCCTTTTCTGGCACCAGTGGGACTTCACTGGAGCAAATGGGAGCCTGTGGGTGTTTGCCTGGACCCTCTTTTCGTTTGCATTGCTTTGTGCAATTCTCCGATCGCAGGTAGATCAAGAAGCGGTCGTGTTTACACCTGTGTTTGCAGTGAGAAGAGGTTTGAAATGAATTGAAGTCAGAGGCAGTCAGTACATACGGCCTCATAGCTTTTATCCCCAGGATGTACTGGCCCTGACCTGTGTGCTGATCAGACTATAAAGAAGAGAGCGTGCACTCTGAAACCTCTCAGGAGCTGCACTGATATCAGTCCGATGCATTTAAATGTATACCTCTGTTTACTGTGTCGGCTGTTAGTGTCTTAGCCGTAAGCGGCGAATTTACAGAAATAAGCATTCCATTGATTTTAAACTGCTATTTTTACACGACGAGGAATGAAGTGGAACACAAAGTAAACACTGCTGTCTCAAAGTGTATTGTGTGCACCTATTATCAAACCTTTACCATCATATTTACCGTACGGAACAACTAGAACGGAAAAATAAGCCCACTTTTACAGATATCGAGTTAAATGATGAGGCTGAATTATTTTCTGCAGCAAGCACACTGTATCATCTCACTAAGATAGAAAATAACAAACATTTCACAGTTTTTTCACTGCATATTACCCAGCCATCACATATCAGTGTCCAGTCACTTATGTCGCAGAAGGCCTCTGCTGATCTTGTGTCTGCTTCTTTCAACAGTATCTTAACATCTTATACGCCTGCCTGGGAACCCTGCTGTTTTCTTTAGTAAGTACATGCACACGTAAATGACAGAACATGGTTTTCAGCAACACGGCTTGAATTGAAAACAGACTGAAACTGACCTTTGTAAAGTGAAAGAAACCATCATCAAACAAGACTTTAATGTCAAGTGAGTGTATGCGATGTAAGGTTTGATCCCACCCTGCCTCCAGTGTCTGTCACAGTAGTTAGCGTAAAGAGAGAGACTCTGATGTCCTTGTGCCCTTTAATTTCAATTATGCACTGCTTAACAGCAGTAGGCTTCATTTTCACAGCCACCTCTCTGCGTGCCTTTGGCATTAACAGCAAATGTTGTGACCCATCCCGTCAGCTGGTGGAACAAACTGCTACTGCACACAGAGCTGAACAGGCTGTCAGCGGCAAGTCACAACTTACTTTCAGCCCTACATGATTATTTACATGGCCTGTTTATCTGCGCCGTCCCCTCTTTCAAAGATAAGAAATACTGCCCGTGTTTTCTTTCAGACCGATTCTTGTAACCGGCTCTCTGTCTCTTTCATCACACAAGCGCACTGCCTTCAGACGTCAGTATTGGTAGTGCTGAAGCATCTCTGATCTCTCTCTGTCTCTCCGCAGTACTTGGTGTTTGATACCCAGCTTATCCTGGGTGGGAAACACAGGAAGTATGAAGTGTCTCCTGAGGAGTATGTGTTTGCTGCCCTCAACCTCTATTTGGACATCGTCCTCCTGTTCCTCCTCCTGCTGAGGCTCATCGGTCGCTGACACTGAACCACTGTGACAGGCCTCCTTAAAGGAACACTGAAGCTCTTCCCACACACAATATCAAATCATCAGGAGCATCATGCTGTCTAGGTTCACATTGAATGAAGATTCACAACCCTCTGTTAGTCCTCCAGGCATCTGCTGTCATTTTAAATATGCAGGGATACAGATTTGTTTTACTGTCACACGCCATGTTATTATGCACTGCAATATGCTGTGCAAAATGTTTGGGGTTTTTTTTTTTCATCATTTCTACATTTGAGATTCTTATGCGGCACTAGCATGCAACCTAGAACGTCAAACTCATGTGCTTAATATTTCTTTATACAATTACACTTGAGCTTTACTTTCTGTATCAGGAGATTAAAACTTTAAAAGGAAACACCACCTATGTTAAAAATACCAACATGTTATTTCCATGGCCAAGGACAGTTTGATCAATATTTGTAAACATGAGCTACTCCCTCTCAAAGCCAGAAACCAGAGGTAAGTCCTAAACTTGTGATGTCATCAAGTATGAAATCTGGAGCTGCTCCATAGACAATAAATGAGCGACTGATTTTGTGGAGCCACAGAGCGTCTGTTTTCCTCTGTTTTTTTCTGTACACAAATGAGCTTTATTTTCTATCGTATTGTTCTCAGTTCTGAAACAGAAACTGTACCCATAAAGACTGAACCATCATGATATTGTGCAAACTACAACGACTGTTGCCCAGTAGACAACTGTCACCTGGTTTCACTTGCAGAGATATGTGAAATGGGCAAATTTGTTTATTTAGATATACACTCATCGGCCACTTTATCAGGTACACCTTCTAGTACCAGGTTGGACCCCCCTTTGCCTTCAGAACTGCCTTAATTCTTGGTGGCATAGATTCAACAAGGTGCTGGAAACGTTCCTCAGAGATTTTGGTCCATATTGACATGACAGCATCACACAGTTGCTGCAGATTTGTTGGCTGCACATCCATGATGCAAATCCTCTGTTACACCACATCCCAAAAGTGCTCTATTGGATTGACTGTGGAGGCCACTGGAGTACAGTGAACTCCTTGTCATGCCAGATTGAGATGATTTGAACTTTGTGTCAGGATGTGTTATCCTGCTGGAAGTAGCCATCAGGAGATGGTACACTGTGGTCATAAAGGGATGGACACAGTCAGCAACAATACTCAAGTAAATCATCTTTCTTCACCATTGTGATGTTTGGTTTGAACTTAAGCAGGCTGTCTTGACCATGTCTACATGCCTTAATGTTGAGTTAAGTTGAGCTGCTACCATGTGATTGGCTGATTAGCTATTTGCATTAACAAGCTGTTGAATAGGTGTACCTAATAAAGTGGCTGGTGAGTGTAGTTAAACATGGTGGTCGAATCTATCCAGCGTTTCTGCTCTGCTTATTTTATGTACTATGTTGCTTTCCTAGCATCTTTGATGAACCAAATCTACTGGCACAGAAGCTATGCAATGTTCTGCTGAGAGCTGGGGCTGCAGCAAAACGTATTTTAGCCACATAAGAAATCAGTATCAGTTTAAGTGCACGCCATGTATAGAATACTGTCATTGCTTTACCTTACACATTATCTGACGGAGGCAGCGGTAGACCAGAAACTCCAGTGTTCTGCAAAGTAAAATAACAGCTTCAGTTCCCCATCAGAAAGGGCCACCTGACAGAAAGGTAGAGCAGTGAAAATCCTCTAAATATAGCATACACTCAAAGTGATACTGATTATTTTTTTTAAGGTGGGCCTTTATTTAGGGGGCTAAAAACTACCAGTTGACGCAGCTCAGTGCCATGATTGTGATTCAATCTATACCCTATGACATCACAAGTTTGAGTTTTAGCCCTAAACCTTGGGGAAATGTAGCATTTTTCATGTTTACTAATATTTTCGGACTGTCTCAGACCATAGGAATAACCTATCAATTTTGAAAATGGGGTAGTTCCCCTTTAAGGCAAACATAAAATCCCTGAACAGTTCAGGTAGTAATTTACAGTATGTTGAGTCAGAGTAGTTCAGCCATCCTGTAATCTGTGCCGCAAATGTTTTAACAACTTATGGAATGTGTCCTGTAGTAAAGATGTTTTTGGAAACCAAACTAACTCCATTAAAGGACAGAATCTGTCAGCTTTCCACTCCCATAAAACCAGGTGGATGCTGTGATTTTTTTGTTTGCAAAACATGTTTGTTTAGAATGTAGTCATCACCACATCCCAATTTAAAAAAAAAAAACATACAAATTAAAACTCAACACATATTTTATTGGCATCACACATCAAACAATTTTTCATATAAAGAGGGAATGTATCAAGTATAGACTATGAAAGTGCAAATAGCATTTCAAGGATTAGTTGCTTTACAATAGAAAATCTCAGTGAGTTACAAAATGTTATATGCCATTGTAAAATAAATCACCTGAACGTTAGAGGTGAAATACAAAGGAAGTACAAATTCCATTTAGACTTGTACCCATTTCATGCACAGCATACTGTTACACAAAAAGGGGCAACATACTGTATGTTATCTCCACTTCCATTAACCAAGTCCAACAGAGTTAGCTCCACTAACCATATGGCACTCACAGTTTCACAACTTCAAGACACTATCTTTAGATTTAATGTGGCTTTACACATCTGCTAGGGGAAAAAAAGTCATTTACTTCAGTCAGACATTAGTCTATGTTTAAAAACATAATTAAGTCTACAAGGTAAAATTGATCAATGTGTCATATGGGTTATTCACAATCCATTTTTTCCTTTAATGGATTCAATTGATTTCAAATAAATACCTACTTTATATTGCAACTTTCCTCCATTTTAGTGTCTTCAGGTGAGATACATGATACACATACAGTAGGTCAACTCATTTTCAAAACAGTGATTTTAGTTTCTAAATCACAGAAAAAACAACTTCAAAATTTAGGGCAAGAATCCCTTCTGCACAAAAAAAAAAAAAAAAAAAGAGAGAAATAAAACCTTTTTCAAAATATATGGGAACAAGATTTGAAAGTATGACATTAACCATTACCCATTATACCAAATCATATAAAATCAGTGTTCTCCATTAACATAATACTACTAGAACCAACAAAAAAGCCTCATGCTACAAATATTTTGATGAGAAAAAAAAAATCAAGATCTCATGTTTGCACACTATAAACTTTATGTGAGAGATATAACTTTAAGGTAACAGGTGTTTGTTTCATTTACACTGTAAATACTGTGTAATTAGCACTCAGAAAAATGTGTGGAAAAAAAAAAGAAATAACGGTGATTGACATAAAGGCACTGTGTCTCTAACTGCGTAGAGAACTGTTTCAAAGACATGGACTCCCCATGTGTTTGAGATGCAATACACATTCATGAACTCTCCATGCATTACCCTGCTGCCCGAGACATCTGTAGAGCTCGAAGAAGGCTTTGCTTATATTACACTTAAATAGGACCCAGAGATTAATTACAGTGACTTGGGCATGATTAATTAATTCGCCAAAGTCTGAATGAGATTGCCTGATTATCTCTCTCACTGGCCTTTCCTGCGGTATCTAAACAAGACAACTCACTGTCTACTTAGTCTGTCACGCTCCACATTTAGCTGCAGAGCTCAAACATTAATATCGGCGAGCTACAATGGAATTCAGACTATAGTGAACTGAGTGACACTGAGCAGCCCCTCTGGGCCCTCAGCATTTGTTGTTTCTAGAGATTAGAAGACAGTTCTCTTTAAAAGCGTGTTAGGATTGAAGCTCCAAGATGAATAATTATTGTCAAGTCAATTTTGAAATGTTTTCAAGCAGGCCACCAACGGTCCATTTAGATAATGAATCTAAACTATTGCGTGTGAGTGTTTCACATAATAAAATACACAACCATGATGGTCTTAAAGTACAGATTCACTGTACACAGCACACTACAGCTTTTAGATAGTAGTGAGATCTGGAAAATATCACACAGCCGCAATCTCAAATACAAATATGGCTCGAGACGTTCACATTTAAAGTTTAGCTGAGTTGTTGAGATTGTAATAAGCAGGCACAATTTGCTTTGAAGAATCCACTTAGTGACTGCAAACTGTGCTTTTGCTAGTCAGTGTTTGGCACCTATAAAGTAGGCAGGTTTGGACAGGAGCGGGAACCATCTCCCAGCCTGTAACCTACAGAGTGGAACAAAATATTGATCTGCTCATATGTACAGTTGGAAAAAACCTCCCTCAGACCTGATTCAGACACATACAGTAGGCTTTTACTCCAGTGGAAAAAAAAAGTTAATACCTGCACTAACACTAAAGTCTCTACATCTCTTATCTCCTCTAAAATTGATTTCAGTAAAAAGCAAGTTATTTGTATTCCTATCAGCACAGAATCATTTTTAGGAAATACATCCTTGGAAAAAAAATTGTTATCAAATCTAATCTCTTCTTCAGTTAGTGCTTTCTTTTCAGGAGGGCTGGTTGTCGGAGGGCTGACAATACAGTAAACGCAGGAAAACGATCTGACTGCAATGCTAGACTAACTAAGAGTCTAAATACCTCTTCCCCCACTTTCCAACCGAATACAAACTGACACATTCTTCATTCTGTTTACATTCCACCTTAATAGCTACTACGCGTATTCCTTAACTCTATTTCAATGCAATCTATAGTGGTTTTTGGCCTTTCCGAAAAAGCTCCTTCCCATCTCAGCCAGTCAGCTCATACCAAGTGCACCTGGTCCTCCCACTCAGAGGAGCTGGTGCTGGGCAGCTGGTCGGACACAGAGTCGCACTGCGGAGTGTCGATGTGGCAGACCTTTGAGCCTCCCCGTTCGGCATGGTCTCCACTTGTATCAAGGGTGGCTGTGTAAGGTAGTGGTGTGGTGTCCATCCCCACTAGATCTAACTGGGTCGGCCTCTGAGTGACGGCAGACTCCTTGTCCTCCATGTCGCCCAGTCTCTGAGAGCAGAAACCCACGTCTGCCATCATTTCCTGAGGTTTCCTGTTTTCAGGCAAGACAGCCCCACCTTTCTCTTCATCCTGCAGGCACCCTCCTCCACCTGCATGGAGTGCACCGAGGTTTGAATCAGTGTCGGAGGAGGCTGAGGGGACCAGGGTGATACCTTGAGGATTCATGTCGTGGAACCATGCCATGATGTTGCCCAGCAGGTTAGCATTTGCTACTAATGCAGAGGATGAGGATGGGTCATGGCTGCCGCATGTGGTTGAGTCTATCGTGTCACTGGAAGAGGAGAAGAGGCCCGTGGATGACTTGCTGCCACCCGGAGCCACTGGTATCGGCACAGAGGCCCCGTAGGCCCGGCAGTGACTGTCACAGTGCTGTACAGAGGTGGAAACACTAGTAGCAGCAGAGTACTGGCTGCTGATGTTGATGTTGCCAAGTCTAGCCATGTTATCTCCCAGCTCCAGCAGTTCTGAGCTGCTCAGAGAAGCTCTGGGAAGGACCTCTACACCTGGAGCACTCTGTTCAAGCCTAGAAGGCAGGGAGGTCCCGATGGCGCCAAGTGAGGCTTCGTTGGCAAGGACGTCATGGTTGGATCCAATCTCTGCCATCCCAGAGTCCTGGAGTGACAGCTGAATGGCCAGTAGAATGTTAGGGTCATCATCGTCCAAAGAACCGAGACCCTGCAAGAAAATCCAGGATACACCGTGTCAGTGATGCACACCAAACCAGTATCGTCCAGTAACAGAGCACCACCTGTTGTACACCTGCAGTTTAACTCCAACCTGCACCACTTTTTGGCAAGGACAGTAAAAGCAGCAGCAGGTTAGAGCTGCACATGGAAACATGCTGTGTGCCATCTACAGACAAGGAAAATAATAGCAGGTAATGGCAGTTTTTTCTGTTTTTTTAATACCTGCTGTGTTGTTGTTTGTTGCACATGTTTTTGAGTTTTACACTTTAATACTCCACTGTGGTCAAAGATACGACTGTCAGTATGGTGTATTTTTGTTACTGTTGAACAGAATAACAGTGATTTAGTTCGTCTCTGAAGTGGAAAAACTTGTACTGGTCATCTCTTTGATGAATAATAGATCTAACTCGACGAGCCTCAGTTGTCCTCACTTGTGTATGTTTATTACAACAAATCTGATCAGAGAAGCTTCTGGCACAGCACTTGTGCACGAACAGATATACCAAAAACTAAAAGTAATGTTACATCCCCTCAGCCTGATACAGTGTATCCCACATCATAAAGAATCATGGCTCATCAGGAGGTGTCAAAACAATGTTCATAACCCTCTGCCCAGACTTTTTACCACAGGACTCTGTCTTATCTCATCCTCCAGAGACCTAGAGCCTCCTCACATAAAGTATACCAAGTGTGAAGGACTTACAAAGGCCTCTTAGGTTAATTACCATGAAAGCATAATTTTTCTACAACAGTCTCTCGGTATGATCCAACTTCCCAAACCAGTATGTGGCTGTCAGTCTATTCATGAATTCACACTTTTATCTTTTAAATGACAAAAAAACCCAACTAAAACAGTTCGGAAATACAGATTAAAGCAAACATTACTGGAAACCAGAATTGTGTATTTGTCGGGAATTATTACAATCTGGGGATTTGGTGCGCTAGTGAGTTTTAAAAGCATCACAACAGGAGTATGTGGGATTGACTTTAAAATAAACTCCTGCGGATGTTCATTGTGATAAAGGAACATGTTGCCCAATAGTTTTTTGGAAACAATAAAGGTCTTCGCATCTATAATGTATGAAATTTTATGCCTTATGTGCATTATGTACATTAACTTCATCTGTTTAATTTACTAGACAAAAATCACGGTTTTATTAATCAGTTATATATACTCATACTACAATTTACAACTGTCAAAGGATTCTACAGCCCCATTTCCCTGAAATTTGACTCTGGATTTAATCTTCTACCTTTTGTATAATTTAACAGTATACACAATTATAATGTGAAGAAATGCATTAGACTTTAGTAAAGTTTTCTGTAAGGAATACTTCACCCTCAAAATGACCATCTGTATATCAATTACCCACCATATGTTGCATTGGAAGTCGTTTTTCTCGCACGCTTCCGGTGAACTAAGAATCCAAAAATGGAGATTCTTGATGAATTGGAGTAAAACTGGTCCTCGTTTAAGCAAACGTACAAGCAAACTACATTAAAACATCTGTTTTTGCAGAATGGGGAACTGAACTAAAGGTGAAACCTATGCTTTCATCAAAGCCAGACTCAATTGACAAAAATAGTAATTTTACCTCACTGAACATGGGAACTACTGGTCTACCACTGCCTT